CCTGATAAAAAGAATCCCCCATACAGCCTCTGTGCAGACTTTCATTAAATATTGAAGTGAGCAGGTTTAAGACTTCCTCAATGTACAGCTGATAAAACTCAGTGGGCAGACCATCTGGACCAGGACTTTTCCCAACATGTAGCTGTTTGATGGCCTGCAACACTTCGTCCCTTCTTATTTCACCAATGAGTGAACTAAAAGTCTGTGGGCTGTATGGAGGGAGAATCTTTACAAAGCTATTTACACTAGTATTATTAATTTCTATTTTATGATAAGAGTTAGCACATTAATATCTTATTGTTTCTCTTTTCCTATTTTCACTGAATACAACGCCGCCATCTTTGTTTTTTTTGGGATTTAATGAACTTGCTTTAATATTATTTATTATTATTTATTTTTTTCAAGATTTTATAGCTTGAGCAATGTTTCCCCTTTTATTGGTTTCTGATTGTTTTTTATATATTATATAATAATTCATTATTAAGGCTGTCTATTTGTGTTTTTAAGTTTATAATGGTTTCTTCATCTGTAATAGATCTTTGTTTCATCTGCATCAAACTAATACACTGATTAATTAAGGAATTATGGTTTACATTTTTAAGTTTATTTATTTCTTTACTTTTAAATTTAAAGAAATCTTTGATTATATTTTTGAGTATTTCCCATAAATTAGTGTAGGTTATAGTTATTATTTCTTAATTGAATTCAGTTATCGAGTCTTTTAAGTTTCCAGAAGCCTCTATTGGCTGAGGCTCCAGATGACAAAGAGGTTTTAACTAAAAGATGGTCAGACAAATTATAACACTGTTCCGTAGTGAGTTACTTTAAAATTAGAGGATACGGATATTTGATCAATACGAGTTTTGGTTTTTGAATCAAACCTAGTAAAATCAGTTCTGAGTGCATAGAACACCAAAGTCAGTATTCAATGAATCAGTTAACTTTGATTCTTCACACATTTCTTTTAAAAGTTTCCCCTCAGAGCTCAGTTTAAACACTGTGCTGCTGACTCTGTCATTTTTTTCAGTTACTTAAAATCTCCACATAATATAATATTAAATCCAACTAAAGTTAATTCTGAGAGTTTTCTGAACAACTGACATTTCTTAGTTACTTCTGGAGCAGTGTAAACAATAATAATGTGATATTTTTCACCCTGATAAAAACAATCCAACATCAGCAGTCTACCTGGAATAATGTCTCTTCTCCTGATTATCTCAACATCATGAGTTTTAAAGAAAATACCAACAGCATCATCACTGCTCTCACCTATTAATATAACACTGTTACCTTTATGCCACAGATTCATTACATCATCGACATCCTCCTTTGTTTTCAGTCTCAGCTCTTGAGTGCACAGAACACCAAAGTCAGTATTCAATGAATAATTTAATTTTCTGATGTCTGAAAGCACTCGACTGAATACCACGAGCATTCCAGGTGGCAATTTTTAGGAAGCTCATAATAAACAGGAGGGTGTTAGTTCTATGGAGATGGTTTATCATCTAGGCGTTTTCCTTGTTTACCAGAGGAGAACGTACCTCGTCTCTTCTTAAAAGGGGGCTTCATTGTGAGGCTCGAGCCTGAGCTACCTTCAGATGGATCTGAGTTTGCTTCAGAGTGCGGAGGGAGAGGGGAGCTACTGACCCGCTGACCTGCTGCTAAGTCAGGACTAAAATCAGAGCTCAGGCTCTCACTACTACTCTCATAATACTGCTCATCATATGCATCATCACTATCACTGTACAAGCTTTCACTTGAGCTCTTCTCACCTGAAGAAGGGGAGAGATCAGGCAGAGGTGTGGATATCCGTAACTCCGCTGAGGGGAGCAACTCAGATGGACCAGGCTGTTGCTGAAGCAGCCTGCCTGCGACCGCCAGAGGACGATCAGGCTGCTGTTGTTGTTGTTTTCACAATTTTCTTATCCTGTTTGCCAACACATTTGATTTTATAATCAGCAAACCGCAGACTCACTGGCCTCCAATTCTTGAGTCTGTATTATCCTGTGCTGAGAACTGTAGTAAGTTGTCAAAATCCAGCAAATCCTCCACAGCTCTTTTCCTTCTCTAGGTTGATTCTGTGAGAACACTTCCATCAACTGAATAAATGGAATGAAGAAATTAATTTTGACCATTCTTCTTCATAACCTGTAGTTTGTGTACCATGTAGTGAGCAAAGATAGATGCTTAATATTCATAGCTCTGTCTAAACCAAATCTGGATTTGATAGAGCTGGTCAGAATCACTCAGTAATCTTTATTCTGCCTCCCTGATATTGATGTCATATGAAACTTTTTGTTCTGTTTTCACTTGTCAGCTGGGGGTCTTAAGCATATTTATTCACACTAACAAGGTGAATTTTGTGACATTACATTTTTCTCATATACAGAGAATGAATTCAGTACTACATATGCCTGCCTATTTATGAATACATAAAACATAAAAGACACAGCAGTCTTTGATATTATTGTGAGTGGTTTGTGGTGTCACTTAATAATGTTAAATAGATTTTAAAAAACGTTCTCTCAATCTACAGGTTTCACTCTGAAAAATGGAAGATTTCTACATTTACCACACCTCACAGGCCAACAGCTATAATTACATCAACATCACCTTCGACAGTGATGATTATGGAGAGATTGAATTCATCAAGAATGTGGTGACATACATAATCACTGGTATCTGCATTCCTTTGACCCTTGTGGCCTGTGTGTTGTAAAGGCCAAAACATTACAGGAATAATTTACTCCTTGATTAAACTACACACATGTAGTTTACATATGTGGCTCCATCCCAGTCTTCTCTTCAACTGTTGAAGTTAATGGCCATTTTTTTACAACTTAAAAAAAAAAAAAATACATTTGAAGAGTTTGTCGGTGAAATTCTTACAGTATATTTTGGGCTCTTTATTTGATGTTTTTATTAAAATTCCATCAACTAAAGTGTGAAACCTTATGAAGAAAATTATACATCCATGTTACCCAGATGTTGAAATGTTAGGGTTAGGGTTAACTGTGTTGCCATGAATTTTCATCTTGTGCCATCATCAGGAAAAACATTTATTTGTCCAATGCTTTGGTTTATTACTAAATAAACTAATGATATTCCCAGCCTTAGATTGATTGTGTGCTAATTAACAGTCGAATAGTACCACTTAAGTAAATCCAGTAGAATCCATAACTAACCTCGGTTTATAGGTCTCCTCCTATTGCTTGCTTGATCCTCCCAGAAATATAAGTAATGAGGAGAAATATGCAAACTGTGACTCCAGTCTAGTGGATCTGTTTGACACATACAAAACACAAACATGTGTTTGGGTCAGAGTGCGTCATATCTGTGTCTGAAACACAGCTGCAGAAGCTGCAGTCAATCTGGTCCTCAGTCTTGTTCCTGCAGTGACTGACCAGTGTTTCATATCTGATATTTCTGACAGCACAAAGGACAGTTTGATGAAACATTTATAAATAACTGCAATTCTTGGTCAAAGAAAGATATTTTGGAGGAGGTGGATCTCAGAACATGTTTACAGCTGCTAATGTTTTCCTGCAGGTGTGAAATGATCATTTTACTCCGATCTACGTCATCAACCTTCTCATTTCTGACCTCGTTCAGTTCTGTTCAAATCTTAGTTGATTTTTACTTCTTTGGTGTGATGGCCAGTGTTTGCTTCATGGTGTGTATCCCCCTGGAAAGGTAGCTATCTGTCTATCCAGTATGTGTGTAGCTACTTCTGTGTCTGACCATTATATTACTATAGAATTCTGAAGCTCCTCAAAGACTATGTGTCCATCTTGTATTACAGGTATTTGGTCGTCGCCTTCCCGCTTTGGTACCGCTTCAGACGAACCATCAATGCCTCTGTAGTGGTCTGTATTGTGGTCTGGGCCCTTCCTCCTGTCTTTCTCCTCACTTTCTATTTCTGGTTTTATGTCAGAGTGAAGGTGACGTTGTGCCTATCATCTTCTGCATCTTCCTCCTTATTCCCTTTTTGGTTATGACACTGCTGTTCCTTCCAGCATCATTTGGTTCCATTTGGTTTTAACTGTTATATTTTTGTAGATCTAGATTTCAGCATACTTTCCTGTCAGCGCTGAATTATTCTGCATTGTACAAATACAGCCTGGGCTGAACCGCCACTGATTCTGGCACTTGATATACGGTCAAGGTACATGTCTAAATCATTGAAAAACTTGAATGAATTCTGAATTGTGATGTTGAAACATGTATGAAACAGAATACTTCACAACATTTGTTGGAAAAACGGATAAAGTTACAGACAGACAGAGTATAATTCTCTTGTCTTCTATCCCCTGTAAAACACAGCAGACTCTATTTTGGTGAACTGAGTGGCGCAGCCAGATAATCAAGCGGGCCCTGCCAAGTGCGTCTGGAGCGTGCAAAGCCTCTTTTGGTATTTCATTGTCAGGCTCCCTTGTAGGACCTTTGGTGGACCTGTGGCGCATTTAGGGTGGGTGCATTAAAGGCTGTGACAATCATGGCCAATCACATTCATTGCTTTCACCTCCTTTAAACACAAAGTTTGAGTTTTGGGATCCTGTGAAGAAAGATACTAATTGTTATCTGGGACCTGCACAGTTTGAATGCAGCAGCTCAGATATACTGTGTGAAATAATTCCACTCAGGCCAGCAGGGGGGGCAGTAATAATGTATTTGTGCCTGACTACTTTTTTTTCTTACTTTCTTACAAGAGGAGGTGTAGATTGACAGGACCATTTTTACTGTAGACTAGTTAGATGCAGAGGACAACTCATCAGATGTGGGTGTAGGGAACTCATTCAGTTGGGCTCTTGCAGGTTTTTAAGGTACATTTTGTGTAAAACTGATATGTTTGTGGGTATATTATATATATATATATATGTGTGTGTATACTGTATTTGTGTGAACTTGCAGCTCACAGCTTTAGTAATATCATTGACCAATGTTAGGTAGATATTTTAAAAGCATGCTCCCTTTCTATAACCTGATCTCTCAAACTACAGGTTTCACCCTGAAGAATGGAAGATTTCTACATTAACAACACCTCGCTGGCCAACAGCTATAATTACAGCAACATCACCTCCAACAATAAGGATAACAAAGAGGTTAACTTTAACCTGCGTGTGATCTTTTACATAATCATTTGTATCGGCCTTCTTTTTACCCTCATGGCCATCTATGCTCTTTATTCTCAGGTATGTACATTAAGACTGAGATTGATTGATTCACTGTCTGTCTCATGTGGCACATGGGGCTGGGACAAAGTGTGGTAACGACCTATAAATTTAAAGGAATCATTTACTCAAAAATTCAAATTTGTATAAAAGTTAATTGGACCCTGAACACTTACAGTTTACAGTTGTGGCTCCATTCCAGCGTTCACTTAAACTGTTCATGGCACCATGTAGGTAAAACTCAAAGAAAAACAGAAAATAGTCATCAAGATTGTCAGAGCAACTGGTACAGCATTATCAGAGGTGCCTGGAGGTTGAACAGTAATAACTTTAGCGATGTCCTAACTTTCCATCTTACGCCATCATCAGGTCAAACATTTGAATTTGATATATGTCCAAATACCTACAAAACCGATGACATTCCCCCCAGCCTGAGCTGTATTTTGTGTTTATTAGCTGATTTTGATGGCGACCATTACCTGCTAACATGGTAACATTGTCTTTATGAACATTTAGCTAAATGAACCACTGGGTACAGCCTCACAGACCTGCTAGCATGGCTGTAGACTCTTAGGGCCAGATTTACTAAGAATAAGGTATTTTGCAAATGTGTGCTGCTGTTTTCATTGAGTTTACAGTCAATCTATGTGTATTCAGCGTCTGATTTACTAAAACAGTGGATCTGTTTGATAAAATCATGTGTTTATGTCAGAATGCATCCTATTTGTGTCTGAAACAAAAAACAGCTTTTTCTGGTCAGAGTAAGATAACATATTTGGGAAGAGGTGGAGTTCAGAACATGTTTACAGCTGTTTGTTTACTCTTACCAATGTTTTCCTGCAGGTGCGAAATGATCACGTTGCTCCAATCTACGTCATCAACCTCTTCATTTCTGACCTCATTCAGCTCTGCTACTTGATCGTTTGGGTGGCACTACGTGGGGATCAGAAGATAGTTCAAATTTTAGAATTAATCGCTGGTTGTTGTCTGTTGGCCAGTGTCGGCTTCATGGTGTGTATCGCCCTGGAAAGGTAGCTATCTGTCTATCCAGTATGTGTGTAGCTACTTCTGTGTCTGACCATTATATTACTATAGAATTCTGAAGCTCCTCAAAGACTATGTGTCCATCTTGTATTACAGGTATTTGGTCATCGCCTTCCCGCTGTGGTACCGCTTCAGACGAACCATCAAGACCTCTGTGGTGGTCTGTGTCGTGGTCTGGGTCATTCCTTTATTCGTTAAGCTCCCTTTCATTTTCTTGGATGATTTTAACGTTAAATTCATTATCTTCGGTGTCTTCCTCCTCTTTCCTTTCCCACTGTTGATATTCTTCCTCGGTGGGACCCTCAAAGCCCTGTCTGCCAGCCGAGTCCCCTCTGATGAAAAACGAAGAATTGTGGGAGTTTTGGTTCTGGTGCTGCTTATTTACACTCTGCTGTTCCTGCCCAGCATCATTAGGTCGTTGACAGAGGAAACAAGAAGGTGTTTTACCTTGAATATTGTGTCTTCCGTGTTTCTTTGCTTGAATCCTTTTGCAGACGCAGTTCTGTATGTTTTCATGAGGAAAGGGACCATAGACAAGCTTTTGGCCTCTGTGTGTTGTTGCAGAATGAACAGCAATGATATCAGCAGTTCATCAGTATGAATGATAACAACATTTACACAGTCAGCTTCATGTAGGCAGAGAAAGAGGGAGAGAGAGAAAGAGAAGAAAACAGAAGGAGAAATGTAGGCAAAGGCTTATAGGCTTCAACAGATTTAAATAAGATACAAATTCTTATTAGTTTATTATCTGTTAGGTGTCTATCATTATTATCGTTTAATCACCGAAGTGAACCAGATGTTCTTTTGTAATTACCTAAACTCATTATAGCTGCCACACCGTTTTAAGCCTAAATCTTTATTTATTATTACAGTATATGTAATTTTATATGATTGTACAGTTGTACATTTTCTGGAAATCCAATAAAGGTTCTACCAAAATGTCTCCTAATCTCAATATATATATGAACATAAAGCTTAATATTGTTGGTACCAGGCAGTTGTTTCTGTTCATATTTTGTGGGTGTTTTCCATCTTTTTAGAAATAAAATGACACCCGTTTGACAGTTTGATTATGACTGAAAATTACATTACATCACACAACATTTTTTAGAGACTTTTACTATATAAAATGCTTTGCCAACAGTCTAATATGTATGTGATTGCATCAATTGCGTTCCTGATAGATCTGTATTTACTGATAAAGAATGATCAAGTTTATTAATTTATCAATTATCAGTCTGTCATCTTCGTCCTGATCTCTGACCTCATCCAGATGTGCAGATAACAGTATTAGCACTTACAGTTTTATAGCACCCAACACTCACACTTTAGACTTCAGACATCATACTTGCTAATGTTGCATTATTGTTCATAAATAACTTATTTACTTCAATTGTCACTGTGTGGGCCTCCCTTCTTTGTTATACTCCTGAACGAGCCGGGCATAACACACCAACTTACAGTCCTAATTGGAAGTCTGCTCATACAAAGAAAGAACTGAAAGGCCACAAGCTAAACTGACTGTTATAATGTGAGTTACATGAAAGATTTTTATCCAGCTTGAAGGATAGGCAGCCTTCCTCTAACTGATTTGATGTGTGGGTTAATAGGCTGAAGAATGTCTTCCCTTATAAACTTATAAGCTTCAGTAATTTCACATTATATACAATGTTGTCCAGTAGGCCTGAGGTGAGTAGGTAAGACCTGTATCTGTTTAAAGTCACATGTACATTTAGTCATATGACAGACAGAGGAGTTTAATCCAATTTACAGACACAGAAACACAGGAAGTTGCTGCAATGTGTTGATTGACAGATTACAGACACTTTGAGGCTGTTATCTAACAGCTATCAGACTTTATGTTTTCAACATGTTTTATATGCTGTTTGTACCATACATTAAAGCTCATGCTTTTAGGTCTTTAACATGTGTTAAGGTATGGTTATTGATTGCTGGAAAATCCATTGTCTTTTCTTCTTTTTGTCTTTTAGAGTCTAATTTGATACCTAAAATTTAATAAATATTATTTTAGATGCAGATTACAGGGAACTTTATTGTCTGTGCTGAATTATTCTGCATTGTTGTAAAAAATACAGTCAGGACTGCTCAGTGCTGTTTGTGAATGAAATTGGGCCCAAGTTACATTTAGCAGAGAACCACATGTTAGGCGTGGGTGCTGCAGCAGAATTTGTTTTTTATCCGATACCATCACTGTGATGTTTGCTATGTGTCAGATTAAACTAATCAGCCACATCGTGCACATAAGCACATAAGACGACAACAGCAATGGAGAAGTAAAGTGTACATGCAGTGTACACAAAGAGCTGCTATTACTGAGTGATGAAATTATAAATTATACCATTGGCTGTCGCTCTTTCTAAATTAGTAGGTGGGTGAGTATACATTCTGCAGATATAAATCAATGAAAGAGCAGGGGGTGTTAATAAATAATTACAATAGTTAGAATAAGTCCTCTATCAAATGAAACATCTTCAGATGTGAGTGGAAAGAGTTTATAATATTACAATTATTTTGTAAATGTTATAAATGTTTTGTCAAAATAACATTAATTGATCATTACATCTGTCTTCCTGATGTACTATGTGTACACGTTGTAAATGCCTGTCTCTTAAAAGTGTTCTAGGCAATGTTATATTCAGGGATTTTGAGAAAAGAAGCTTTGTTTTCACTTGTTGAACATGTTATAGATATGTGCATTTTCAATACCAACATCAGAGGAAGATAAGGACATGATAAAACCAAATATCAGCAACATCTTTATAGCAGGAAATGTATGTGATATCTTATAAGTACAATTTGCAGACAACTCTTACTCTGAAACTGGGGCATTTCTAGGAGTTAAGGACACTGGGGGCTTAGCCCAGGCATCTGTAGGGGGCTCCAGGGGAATCCTTTTTATGCTTTTTCTGAAATTAAAATTAAATCTAAATTGTGATATTAAAGATTTAGTAGTTAATAATTAAAGTAAAAGCAAAATACTTTACCATCATCATACATTAGTGGATTTAAAAAGAGAACAGATGAACACACAGCTGATTGTTGATCGTGAAGTTAAATTAGTGATATTAAAGAGAATTACATTTGGAGCTTCTTCATTAGTGTATTTACCTGAAAATTAGATTTGTTGTGTTTTTGCTCTCTTACAATGAGCCTTTTATGTCTATAGACACGATCATCTCTTCCATGAATGCCATGCCATGTTGAACCACCATGTCTCTACAATAGCCCAGAACGGACAAACCACACACTGGCTAGATAAGGCTTTTCGTGCCTTTTCGACGCTTTGTGGCTACTGTAGTTTCCACTTGGAGGGGGAGGGTGAAGCGAGGGACTTGAATTCTGCAATTACACCATTATATGCTAATAAATCCTACACATTCCATTAAATGTATTTACGTTAATCATCACCTTGTCTTTTATGCCATACATTTTTCAATTCTATTCAGTTTTATTTGTATAATGCCAAATCATAACAGATATTCTCAGGACACTTATTTATAGAGGCTGCATGTTTCCAGGCATGAGCAAGCACTTTGTGACAGTTGCAAGGAAGCATTGGTCTTACGTCAACATTGCTGCAATATTAGACAGAGCAACATGCCATAACTCTCAAGACAAAAGATGCCTGACTCAAACTGTTATATAGTGTTATATGTAATGTATAGTACAAAGTATAACTATAATATATATAATATAATATAACATTTTTAGATGTATAATTTGTATCCATTTTGTATTGCACTGATATTAAATACATTTATGAATTTATTCTAAAATTGACATTTATAATCACATTTTACATTATTTAGTTTTATTACGTGCAGCTTTTCATTTCCCCTTATTTTAAGAGGAAAAGGAAAGGGCTCCTGCTGGTCATTTGGGTGCCTGTCTGTTCTATCTTTAAGTTTTCTTTTATTTAAGGCATTGACACCCCCCGACTGAGTATTTTCCCATACACAGTGGGTCCAGTGGCATCCATACTTGACTTTCCAGGACAGAGTGTTTAAGCTGTGTGCACAGAATCATCAGGTGTTAGTTAGTCCAGTTAACTCTGCTATCAGTGCTCTGTCCTCATCTGATAATGCCTTCACGAACATCAATCCAACTACTCAAACAGATTACACCCCCAGTTTTCTTGCCAAAATAACAGCATGATCCAGTTCTAGCAAGTTGTAAACTATAGTTATTGTCTTAATTATTAAAGTAGCCTACTTCCTCTTCATCTTCATCTGTACCTTTTCACAGAGTGACAAGGCAGACACCCTAAGGAATTGGCTACATTAGTAGCCAGTACAAGGCTGTGTAAGGGCCCAATATGAATGGGCTTTACTCATTTCCATCTCCACGTTTTTACCACAGTGACAGAAAATGGTGACAAGTCAGACTGAAACTTGACCAATCAAAAGTTAACAGTGTCTTTCCAAATTGCCAACCTGACCAAAAAGAAACGCACCTTCCTCTGTGATACATTTTGTGTAGCATAAATAAATCTGTAACCTAAATGCTGCTTTTCTACTCTACTTGCCAGATGAACCAAACCCTGTCCTCTTTTTTTGTCAAAAATAAAACAGACTGAGGTATCCAGTGTAGTGTATCCCAGAAGAAGTCTCTAAATAATGCTGTAGAATTTAATAAAGAGATTTGCTAGAGGTCCTAACACAGCCAGGCTGTGCCACAAAGTGGAGGCCAACAGATTGTTAATAAAAAGGGTACGCTCCCTGTAGGACATCCAGGGTAACAACCATTGCCATTTAATAATAATAATAAAAAATTGTATTTGTTGGCGCCTTTCACAACACAAAAGGTCACCTTACAGGAAAAAACAACTGCAGAAAAACACAGCATAGTAAATACATATAAAATACATATAAAATTGGTTATGGAGTTTGTATTGTATCCGTTGTTGGACGGTGACCAGTGGAGGTGAATGAGCACTGGTGTGATCTGAGGACTTGGTACGTGTTATGATTCTGGAAGCGGTGTTCTGGATGGTTTATAGACAGTGGATGAGTTTTTGTTGTAGACCAATGAGAAGAGAGTTACAATAGTACAGACGAGAAGTGACCAAGGCATTTATGAGGACTTCAGTGGAGTGCTGGGTGAGGGAGGGCCGAAGTCAGGAGATGTTGCGGAGATGGAAAAAGGATGTACGTGAGATGTTGTTGATGTGGGATGTGAGTGAGAGAGTACTGTCCAAGATGACGCCAAGACTTTTAACTTCGGTTGAAGTGGGGACCAGACAGCCATCGATGAGAATACTGAGGGGATGGGATTTAGAGAGTGATGATTTGGATCCGATGAGAAGAACTTCACTTTTATTGCCATTGAGTTTGAGCTTGTTGTTTGACATCCAGTTTGTAATGGTTTCCAGGCAGTCTGTGAGGGCAGTAGGGGGTGATGCAGTGTCTGGTTTGGTGGTGATGTAGATTTGGGTGTCGTCAGCATGAAAGTGGAAGTGAATACCAAAATGACGGAAAATATTGCCGAGTGGGAGGATATAAATGATGAAAAGTAAGGGACCCAGAACAGACCCTTGTTGAACACCGTGAGTGAGTGGTGAGGGTGGTGATCTGGTATTTTCTCCTTGGATGAACTGGGAACGGTCAGATATGTAGGAATGGAACCACTGAAGGGAGATGCCAGAGACCCCAGTGCTGGCCAAACAATCTAGGAGGATGGCACGAGATATTGTGTCAAAGCCGGCACTGAGGTCTAGGAGTATGAGGATGGTGAGAAGGCCAGAATCAGCTGCTAAAAGAAGGTCAGTTGTTATTCAAATGAGAGCTGTTTCTGTACTGTGGTTGGGACGGAAACCAGACTGAAAAGGCTCGAAGAGGTTATTTTTTGATAGATGATCTTGAAGTTGGCAAGCTACTGTGCGTTCTATAACTTTTGAGATGAATGATATGTTATAAATAGGGCGATAGTTTTTTAATTTGTTTGGGTCCAGGCCAGGTTTCTTTAATATAGGTGTGACTGAAGCAGTTTTGAGCAGGGAGGGAACAGTACCAGTTGACAGGAAGGAGTGAACAATTTGTGTAATGAGAGGGGAGAGTGTAGGGAGACAAGCCTTGACCAGTGTGGTGGAAAGTGGGGGTCGAGTAGACAAGTAGTAGACCGGGAAGACACGATCAGTTGGGATATCTGTTGATTCGAGGGAAGATGAAAAGCAGATAGGGTACTGGTGGGCTGGACAGTAGCACAAGGAGTGTTTAACTGAGAGGACAGGGAAGGGGTGAGATGGTGGTGTATGGAGTAAACTTTGTGATTTATGAAGTCCAAGAATTGTTGACACTGAAAGACTGACGTGAAGTGGGTGGCAGTTTCTTTGGGCTTGAGTAGTTCATTTACTGTGGAGAATAGAATCCTGGTATTGTTTCCGTTGCGCTGGATGATGTTGAAGTAGTAGGCAGATTTGGCAGTATTTAGAGCGGTCTTGTAGGAGGTGATGTGGTCTGAGTACATTTGAGAATGAACAGTGAGTCCGGTTTTCTTGGCAAGCCACTCAAGGCGGCGGCCATGAGTTTTGAGTTGGCGGAGTTCAGAGGTAAACCATGGAGCAGTCCTAGAGAAAGTCACTGTGCGGGTTTTTGATGGAGCCAGGGTGTCCAGTGCGGCAAGCAGTGTGCTATTGTAATGGTCAACGAGTTCAGTAGCGGAGAAGTGTGAGTGAGAGATTGAGATGGAAATTAAACTGTTCAGTTCTTGTCTATTACAAGAAAACCATCTCAAAAATCTCTGAAATTTAGGGCCATGTGAAGACTATACAACGTAATTCATCTTTATATTTACCAAATAACCAAAACATAAATTAAGATAAACAGGCCTGCCATTATTCTAACTTTAGATAGAATAAAGGTAGTTGACAGGATAGGGTAGCTCTTTCTCTTTTCCTCCGTAAATCACTTTGGCTTTGGTCTCTACTTCATCAACTGGATTAATGTTCTATAAAACATCCTCAGCATCTGTAATTGCCAATAGAGTGACCTAAACAGAGACACTAGACAAGGATGCCCATTATTACCTTTTCCACTTTTTATAAAACCACTCCCATCAGCAATAATACAGGATGACTGCATTTCAGGCATTAAATCAAATTCACACCATCATAAAGTTAGTCCATATACTGATGACAGCTTGTTATATCTAACAATCCCTCAACCTCCCTCCTGTCAGTCCACAATCTGATTAACATAACAACACTTTTGAAGTTTTCTAGATACTCCATTAACTGGTCTAAAAAAACTCAAAACCATTTTGAGTGGGATGTTGAGGTTGGGGATCTTCTTTAAACCACATAAGCCAACCCAGCAAATGGCTTGGAATGCATATGTCAACCAAGCCAAATTACATATTTTTAAACTAATTTTTTATCCCACTACTATATAGCATCAAAGATGACGTGGATGGATGGAAAAACTCCCACTTGCTATCTCTTTACCATTACCCCTGTTAATCCTTCCCTGGGATAGCTGTTACTAAATTCATCAGCAAATACATTTCTAGGAGAGGAAAAAGCATCTAGGATCAAAATAACCACATTCCAAAACCCCACACAATATGGCGAACTCAATGCACCAAATATTAACCCCTACATCCTTCCACCAGCTTCAGTATATCTGACTCTGGTCAAAAAAATCCCAATTCTGCCTGGGTCATATTATGCAGACCATTTCTAAGGATCTACCCATTCAGTGTATTACATTTAAATCCATCAAATGCATCAATCAAATGCTTCAAATTAAACATTGTGAATACCACTCTCACTGCATGGGAAGCAAATGAAATACCTAATGTTAAATTATTTCCTTCTTCTGTCTCTCCGATCTTGCATAACCCCATGTATCTGTGCTTCTGTTATTGTTTTGTAAATATCTAAATAATATTAATATAGAGAAAAAATAAATAATATTTTATATATTTTACTATTTTCCCAAGTTTTTAATTTTTTAGGTGTCTCACACACATTTTAATTTAGCTGTTGCTTTAATTGTTATAACTAATGTACGTGTATCCAGAACTTTATTTGTTTTGGTTATTCATTATTTATTGTACAAATAATAAACTAAACTATATACTATTTGTTTAATCTGTATTTATATATGTTTAAGTTTTGGTGTTTTAGCAGTAGGTATGCTAGTGTTGAGGATGTGAATCAGAGCAGGTCATTTACAACAGTTGTTATGTGTTTGGCAATATGGATACAATATTATAGCACAGCATATGTAATCTTTATATGAAACTGAATATTTTCTGGAAATTCAACGTAATTTCTGTTTTGATACAAAAACAGAAATGTTTGCCTTTTATTAACTTCCTGAATTAAAACCTGGTGAGCGCTTTGTGAGATAAAAGGCTGCAAGACAGACTACCAGTGCTAATGTGGCACATAGTGTAAAAGCATTTTGAGTGGTTGGAAGACTAGAAAGGCACTATACAAGTAAAGGTCCATTTACCATTTACCATTTACCAGGACCCTCAGTAGCCTACCTTGCTGCAGTCACACTGTCTGTTATCTCCTACTGCAGAAGTGATGGTGAGGTTCACGGAAGTCAGTCAATGTGATTTCCTCATTCCTTTTGCTCTCTAGTGCTCTGCCGTCATATCAGAATCTTTGATAACAAGAAATGAGGCACAAATGTAGTTTTGTGTCCTGTGATTATTACCAAAATGTTTCAGTGATACCTCATTTATCACTATAATTCATTGATCAATAATGATAAATTCCTCTTCTTTTTATTGAATTTCAAATAACAATTAGAGTATTATATTTCGTATTTTAAAGGGCATTATGTTTTGATCTGTTTTTAATTTAGATACATATTGGGCCTATGTATCTTTTCAACAGTTTTATACAACAATGCTAGTTGCTTTTGTCTGTTGATATCTCTGGCAGCACTTTCAGGCTGTTTGTTAACATACTTTAACCCTTACAAACTGTTCATATCCAATGCGTTCACAGTATGGTCCAAGAAAGTCCTCATAAAAAAGTGTCTATACCATATGTTGAACTACAGATCTATTTAGAATATGTAAAAAGCCTATCTTACATTAATAAATTAATTATTAATCCTTAATTTATGATTTTAGATAGCATGAGAGTGTAGTTTTTAGGTTCTAGACCACTCACTTTGGAGAAAAAAACACATATATCACACTATATCATATCCTGTTTTACCTAAGACATTAAAACATAAAAGCCATAATGATTTAAATATATTTTATTAATAGTGAAAATGGCAAAAACATTCTGGAACTGTTATAATAAAACCACATAACTATCGCAACCATTGGACACTGTCCTTACTGCAATATCATTATATTAACAACAATATTAATTTAACATTAGATTCTAAACACAACACATGAAACATGTTTGTTGCAAACTAGTCAGTGCATTCAATGCAGTAGTAGGAAAATATTCATCTTCTTCTCTTCTTTAGAAAAAGGGAAGTGTAGATTACCAGGAACCTACTACTTTACCTTATTTAATGTGTGTACAGTTTGAATGCAGAAGACATACAGATCAGATGTTGGGGGGATATTAAAAGAGCTTGTTCCTTTTTAATAATCTGATCACTCAAATACAGGTTTCACTCTGAAGAATGGAAGATTTCAACATAAACAACATGCCACAGGACAACAGATTTAATTACAGCAACATCACCTCCTCTGGCAATGATTTTGACAAAAGTATATCCATCAGATATGCGGTGACACACATAATCATTTGTATCGGTCTTCCTTTGACCCTCATGGCCATCTATGCTCTTTATTCTCAGGTATGTACATTATGAGATTTATTTATTATTCATGTCATGTCTGTTGTACAGTCTGTCTGTATGTAAAGTATCTTGATCTGAGGAAGAAGTTAGTTGAATCCTAAACATAAACATGTGTCAGCTTTCTCTTAAACTGTCAAGAAAACAGTCATCAAGTTAAGTAAAAAAAAGTTGGTAAACATTTTGGACATTCATGGTTTCCAGACGATGAGTACCTATTGACCTTCTTTTTTGACGTTTTTACTGAAATGCCTCGAAAACTGTTGCATGGATTGCGATAAAAGATGATACAGACATGCATTGTGCCCAGAGTTTGAATAGTAATAACTTTTGTGATACTCTGACTTTTCATCTAGTGCCATCATCAGGTCAAACTTTTAAATTTGTCCAATACTCTGGTTTACGACTAATACCTGCAAACTAATAACATTGCCATTAGCCTCAGATTACATTTGTGCTTATGAGCACATTTCCGCATGCTAACACTAAACAAAGATGCATATGCAATGAGAAGAGGTGCGTTATATCTGTGCCTGTTAACGCAGTGACTGGTCAGTATCTGATATTTCTGACAGCACTGAGTTTGATGAAAAATACATAAATAACTGCAATTGCTGGTCAGAGCAAGATGACATATTTGGGAGGAGGTAGAGTTCTGAACATGTTTACAACTGCTTGTTTACTTTTACCAATTTTTTCCTGCAGGTGCGAAATGATCATGTTGCTCCGATCCACGTCATCAACCTTCTGATTTCTGATCTCATTCAGCTTTGCTGCATGATCGTTTGGGTGGCATCACCTAAGGATCAGAAGATTTCTAAAATTGTAGAGGTTTTTTACCTCTCTGGTCTGGGGGCCAGTGTTTGCTTCATGGTGTGCGTCGCCCTGGAAAGGTAGCTATCTGTCTATCCAGTATGTGTGTAGCTACTTCTGTGTCTGACCATTATATTACTATAGAATTCTGAAGCTCCTCAAAGACTATGTGTCGATCTTGTATTACAGGTATTTGGTTGTCGCCTTCCCGCTGTGGTACCGCTTCAGACGAACCATCAAGACCTCTGTGGTGGTCTGTGTTGTGGTCTGGACTGTTCCTCTTGTCTTGCTCCTCTCTGCAATTTTCTGGGATGATGTTAAGGTCATATGCGCTATCTTCAGCGTTTTCCTCCTCCTTCCCTTCCCACTGTTGATATTCTTCCTTGGTGGGACCCTCAAAGCCCTGTCTGCCAGCCGAGTCCCCTCTGATGAAAAACAACGAATTGTGGGAGTTTTGGTCCTGGTGCTGCTTATTTACACTCTGCTGTTCATGCCCGTAATCATTGGGTTAGTAGCAGAGGGAGCAAGAAGTAACGTCACCTTCAGAAACCTGTCTGTCATCTTTGTTAGATTAAGTCCTCTTGCAGACTTAGTTCTGTATGTTTTCATGAGGAAAGGGACCATAGACAAGCTTTTGGCCTCTGTGTGTTGTTGCAGAATGAACAGCAATGATATCAGCAGTTCATCAGTATGAAGTATGAATCATTTACACAGTCAGCTTCATGTAGGCAGAGAAAGAGGGAGAGAGAGAAAGGGGAGAAAACAGAAGGAGAAATGTAGGCAAATAGAAAGGATAGAGACAACACATACTGTCATCTTTTGATTTCCAATAAGACAGCTGACAATAAATAAAAGGAAGCATTATGTTCTGACTCTGCTGTTGAAATGAGATTTTTGCTGTTGTTGAGGTGTGATTCTGAGTTTTATTTCACATATATTTTCTGGAAATTCAATAAAAACTTTTCCCTGTCTGCCTTTGAGTGACTTGACTTTGACACTAATTTAAAACCTGACAAATGAACATGCATGACTTGAATCTAAACAGTGGTTACTTTTTACATGCACTGGTATCTGTTTCAAAACTGTTTAAACAATTAATTAAACAATCAGCCATTCCTGGAACAGTGACTAAATGCAGAAAAGCATAAACAGTGACTAATTCACATGATAAAATGAAGTAAAGCCAATTGGTGACATGCTGGTGAACATGAGTCAACAAAGTTCTCAAGATAAGACAAAGAGAGAGAGGAAGTCAGCAGTCACGTCTGCTTTCTGCATGTTTTATAACTATTTTCTGCATGTGAAGATCATGGACTTAGATATTTGGCGCCTAACGTTTTTTCTTTTTTTGATTAGTAGTGACATCCCTATTATTAGTATTACTAGTATTATTTAGCAGAACAGTCATACAAACACAAATATCAGTGACCAGAGGCAATTACACCATGTCCTGTTCCACATACAAATGAATGGGAAGGGAAAATCTGTGTTAGCATGTAGAAATCATGGAAATCATAGAAACATGGTGGACTAGAAGCATAATTATTTTGCTGTGGTAAATGAAAAACAATCTTACTAAACAGTGATGGTAAAAGTTAGCACAAATTCTATATGTATAGTGTGCTCTAATGTGCTTTATGCTGCTATTACGTGAGATTAGTAGTACCAATTTATGTAATTCCTGCAGATGTTGAGCTGCAGGCTCCTAAAGGTGCAGTCAGACGTGTCCATGGCACAGCAGCAAAGCTACAGGGTAGGTGACCCTCCAGGACAAAATGTTGCCTTGAAATCAAAATAATCACCATACCCTAGGTGTATTCATACTTTGCACGTGACGTCACAACTACTAGCTGGCGGGCAAGAACATCGTTCTCCAGCAACGAAACCCAGTAAACTAATAAAGGATCTTGCCAGGACGTCGCCAGTTTTACTATACAAAAGTATATATATATATATATAGATCATATGTACGTGATTTGATGATATGATGAGAAGAAGAATACATGTTACAGTACACACGTTACTGTTGTACTGCGTCTACTTACTTACTTACAGTTACTTTGCATACATAACGTTACTATGGTACAGTTATTACTACTACATTAACGTTACAACCTAACAGATTGCTAACAGGATTAAAGGCATTTCGCTGCCCCAGCTGCTCTTGTCTGTTGTCTGATGCTATGTGGAGTGGATAAGCAGGTAGGCTACAATGTCTGACATCCTGTTAGCCATATATGATACAGCCTAGTTGGCATAAGGTTTTTTTTAAATAACGTTACTTATCAAGCTGTCATTGGCCGGCAGGCAGGGTGTACATATTCAGATGAAGACTTCATCACACGACGGAACAGATGTCACTTTGTGGTGTATAGCTACAAACATGCAAACATTAGCAAATGAAGATATTCCTGTTTTTCACCTCCCATACGACAGCGCTGTTAACCCATCCACTCTTGAAAAAAGATAGCTATCCGTACTTTTGTAGGCTTTCATTTTTTGTGCGGTGTAAGGTGACGGATATATGTAAATATTATGTTTCTTGCCCGCCAGGTAACCATGGTAATCACGTAACTGCAAAGTATGAATAGTCTTGAAAAAAATAGGCCTGTGTAGCATAACAGCACATGACTACTGACGCAAGGATGTAAAGGCTGGAAAATGAATGCAAACGGAAATGTAATCCACGAGAAATATGTTGCAGACAAAGACAACAACTGTATTTAATGTATCATAAGGTATATGACATACAAAGCAGAGCCTGTTGCTACATTAAGTGGAACAGGTGGGACAACGGTAGGGGGAAGTGAAACGTATGATTTGCTTGTGACTCCTTTGTGTCCAATTATAATGTCACAAATATAAAGTAAACTGCCTGTTTAGTTAGTATTTCCTGTGTGTGGTGTGACTCTTCCTTGCGAGCAATAAATAATTCTTATATTGTGTGGTGAGTATTTCACTATTACCAATTCATCACCACTAGACAGCATCAGGTTTTCTGAACAGACTTGATGACAGGGTCCTTCAGTGGAGCAAAAATAAAAAGGTGAGTCCATTTCTATATTGTTGATATTCATGGTCTCCAAAGGATTATTTGGGCTGTTTTTGGTGACTCCAAGGCCTTTCCTATAGCACTACAGTCTACTTGTACACAAGAAATATTAAACTCTATTGAAGATTCACTGTAAAACATGATGATGAGTTCAAGTTTATTAACTCAAACAATTTAAGTATCAACAGAAATATTTGATTTGAGTAGAAGTCACTGAAGTAATTTGGGTTAATTACGTTAATTGTAACAATTCTATTAAAATTAGTAAGTATATTACAGCAGCATTTGCTGCATTTCTCCAAAGTTTTTAAAATGCGTTGATAAAATGTATTAGAATAAAATAACTTTAATGCATTTTCTTTATACAAATGTTACCACTTAAGGTAAATGTACTCAGTTTTCCTACACTAAAGCAAATTATTACATTACAAACCTCATCAGAACAGACATATGCTAAAAACAATTTATAATTAATTGATTATCCAAATGGTGAAATCTCAATAATAGAAAAATCCTTAGCTAAAGGAGATTAACCATTAAGGGAACACCCAGGAAATAAAATGGATTTAATCCATTACAAATTACTAAAATTATAAATACAATTGTTGTTGTTATATGTTGTTAATTCTGTCCAACACTTTCCCATTGCCTGGTGTAATTAACATTGCCTCTTTTACTGGCTCCTACCAGAGTCCTAATCTCATTCTTTTGTAGAGAACACTGTAAGTGTTGTTAAGATGAATTAAAACAAATTTCCTTAATCTTGCAAATGCAGGAAATAGCCAGTTCCATACATTTTTGGATTCTAGCATCAAAGGTTGTTAATGGATAGCTTCACAATCTTTCACATTTGTCTTAAAACAATAGTAAGGCGACCACACTGAACCAGCTTTTGCCTGCTGTAATCATCCCTCTTGTTCATACACTTTCAATGTAAGGGATGGGTCTAAACTGAGAGTGAAGATTTCCACACATTTAGATCCATGCATATATATTAACTTTATTTATCAAGCTTTTGCTCTTTCAGAAATAAAGTGATGGACACATTGACACATTTTATCCAGGGGCATTCTAGACACCCTGGGGGCCCTAGGCAAGAAGGACCATGGGGCCCCCCAGAATCATAATGAATGAAGTCCAGGACTATGGATCAGTAAAGAAATATTTTATTAAACAATTAACATATAAAATAAATAATAAATAACATAACTATCTGAATGCAAACTTTACATACAATATATAAATAACAGAAAAACAAACATAACTGAAATGTGCAAAATTTTTAGAATGATAAAAACGCAACCAAGCAAAAAAACAAACAAACAAGGAATTGAAGTGGAAAGGAAGAACTTAAGACTTGCTATGACACCTTGGTCCTATATCCACAGTCCGATAGTAGTGCCTTTTTTTTCTTAAAACTGCTGCTTGCGGCCCTTGGTTTCTGCAAATGCAGCCACTATGTCTTCCATATCTAAGGACCTCCAAACATCATTACAACAGTAAGAAAAATATTTGTGTAGTCATATTAAATCAGATAGATCCCATGATATATTTTAAATGGGAGAGCAAGTCACTGTAATCTTAACTTTAAAAAGGAAACTAAATAAGTTCCTACTTTGATGTGTAGAGGTCTGCTGTTGCAGCTGCTGTTGTTGTTGTTGTTGTTGTTGTTGTTGTGGGCCAAAAAACTTCAACAAAGCACCTTGAGGAAGAAAAAAGAAAAGTGCACAATGTATTTGGTTGGCTTGCGTAAAGTAAAGTAAAGAACTGTGCATGCTACACAAACACAACATTTGAGATCTGTATGGAATAATTAATGAACATCCATTTGCAGTAACAACTTTAATGCTTCATGTTAACATTTTATTTAATGTAACATTTAGGCTTTAGCAGAAAATGTATGGATATATAGGATAGGATATACTTTATTTATCCCTGAAGGGAAATTCAGTTGTCCAGCAGCTCACATTTAAAAAACATAATTCCAAATACAAATTAGCACCAGTTTAGACTAAACTGACAGCAGAATTGATGCTGGTATCAGTTTTAACATTTGACAGCAAATGCTTTATTCTGGGAGAAAATATCATTGGCATTGGCAGCAAAGGACTAACTTATTGTGTGGCTATGAATGTGTTTAGAAGAAAATGGCTGAATTCACTTTACACAGACTTTAATGTGCAGTAAACTTGTTTGGTGCTTGGTGGATGACTGGGAGTTTGGGATAAAGTGGCAGGCTGGCTGGCAGCACTACTTTTTAAAAATGTAACACACATAGCTTACACGTTCCCACTTACCACTGTCACTTTTTTTCTTTTCATCCTCTTCTTGTTTTGTTTTTCTTTTCGTGTGCCCAGAGATATGTTCGCTTCATTTTTTCATCTGTGTGTTTGACTGGGACCGCACGTCGATGCCGGCTAGTAAGGGGGCCCCATTAGGGAGATTCCTGACGTGTCATTGCAGTGTCTACGGGGGTTTCAAGTTGTGTCGCTGATATGGAGCGATATCAGCCATCTGTCGGGGGCCCCTACTAGCAACTAGCCAGTGACAACTCGGAAAGGGCCCTGTGCGGGGCATTTGTCATTGCAGCGTCTAAAGCAGTTCCATTATTTTGTCATTGACGTCAGCCGTCCCTCGGGGCC